AGCAGTTGATATTTAAAATATGTGGACTGAGATTGTAGAGGTAATAACTGCTGTCATTTGACTTTGCTTGACTTTCTTCAGTCCCTTTAGAAACCATCTAAATTGATCTGGCTCTAACCTTGAAAATGAACAAGAGTTGGCTTTAGCTTGCCAACTAAACAACAACTAGGGAACCTATTCCTTGACATGTCATGGTCCTTCTCTTGAGGAAACCTGTGCAGTCAGCATTATCTTCGGTATCAGTTGTTTTCGAACGTAAATAATATTCCTGAATCTAGAGTATTGGTTGTTTAATTCAGAGCACATTTAAACAGGGAAGATTAGTTGGAAATGAAGTGGTGAATAATCCATTTTTCCCTACTTGTCTGGGAGTGGGCACAAGATAGAAAGAGGGATTTAACCTTCTGGTTCTCTTTCCTAACATTTCTCTGTTTCTCCAGTCATTCATTCCAACCGGAATTCAATTTTCCATACAGGTTTTGAGGCAATAGGATTCTGGAGCTCCAGGAAGAATGGAAGGGCAAATTTACAGCCACCCCATTCTATCTCCATCCCCCCCCCAGTGGATATAAATGCGATTGCTGTTAGCCTCTAATTTTATCCCCATGGAGTTGGGGGCATGCTGTGTACAAACTATCATAACCTTTCTTTGATAATGGAGAGGCAATTCAGTCTGCTCTAATCTTTGTGGGACAGCATTCAAGGACAAAAAGAATTGCACTATAGGGATCTTATTAAGGAACCTGCAATATTGCAATATTTGTTTGCTCAGGAAAAAACTCTGAAGAATTCTAATTATATTTCATTAAATCTGACATTTTTGCTTCTTAGCTAAATTTAGTATGACTTGGCTAGTCTCATAAACTATATTAAATTGATTCAGGAAACATTTTTTTGAAATCATTAATTCTTCTGATTAGTATTCTGCTTAAAAAGCAGTTCTTTTGTAGGACAGTAAAAATGGAAGAGATCCACCAGCGAGATTTTGCATATGCACAGCACAAAAGCTATGCTTTGATTGGTTTCTAATGATGCAATCCTATTTTGCCTAATCAAAGATAGACTCCAGTTTGATGGAGTTTAATCTCAGGTAAATATGCACTTGCAGCCTAAGCATCTTACTCTCAAGATGGGCAATTGAAACATGTACAGATGTACAACACCTCCTCAGGTTTTGCTATATTTGTAAACATGGCATTGAAATCTTATTGGCATTTTGTAACATTTGGAAGTTCAACTTAAATTTCCAAGAAATTCGTTCGTTCGTTCGTTCATTCATTCATTCATCCTACATGACTGTCCATTTTACAAAACAAAAACCTGGGTGGTTTTCAACAATAATAAAAACCCCAAAACAGTAAAAGCACTTCTTCAATATCAGATGTTGAAGACAACAAATTGCAATTTAAGATGCTTACAAAACCAACATCCCCAGTCAGGGGTGGAAGTTCTTCTGCATCTAAAAGACACATGTTGAATGTTGAAATAATGTGATTGCATTCACATAATGGGTACCATAAGATAGGATTGTCTCTTCACTAAATGTATTTCATGGCTGAAGGCAAATGGATGCCTTGTGGCTGCATGATGTGGGAGTTTTTATACCCATTGATCTCAAAGAAGGATCAAGTGGACATATTCAGGATTTGTTCATTGTAACCATTTTGGCTTAGCATGATGTGCAATGTTAACTATTTTGTTAATTTTGCTAATATGTTATTTGTATAACATATTTATAAAAATGAATGCATAACCATAACAGTATATACAAAATTGTACATATTAAAATAATTTAAAAATAAAGCTCATTCAGAAGGAGGGCAATTTCTGTATGGGAAGATTTGTTGCATTTGGAATGAACTATGTGGGCCCTCCTGTTATCAATACATAGTAAACTTGATTAATACACTAACTGATAATATTACTATTGCTAACATAAAGATAGTAGGAAAAAAACTACAAATGAGACAAAACGTTTTATAATAATAGAATAAAATATAATAGAATTCTTTGTTGGCCAAATGTGATTGGACACACAAGGAATTTGTCTTGGTGAATATGCTCTCAGTGTACATAAAAGAAAAGATACATTCGTCAAGAATCATAAGGTACAACACTTAATGATAGTCATAGGGAGCAAATAAGCAATCAAATCATATTAGGAAAACAGTCAATATAAATCGTAAGGATATCAGCAACAAGGTTACAGTCATACAGTCATAAGTGGGAGGAGATGGGTGATAGGAATGATGAGAAGATTAATAGTAATGCAGACTTAGTAAATAGTTTGACAGTGTTGAGGAAATTGGTTGTTTAGCAGAGTGATGGTGTTCGGGAAAGAACTGTTCTTGTGTCTAGTTGTTCTGGTGTGCAGTGTTCTATAGCTGTGATGGCGAAACTATGGCACGCGTGCCACAGGTGGCACACGTAGCCATATCAGTGGGCATGCCAGCTCAGCTCTGCGCGCATGACTGCACCGGCCAGCTGATTTTTGGACCTTCTGGGCCCACCAGAAGTAGGGAAACAGGCTGTTTCCTGCCTCTAGAGGGCCTGGGGGGGTGGGGAAGGCCCATTTTTCTTTCTCACCTGGCACCAGATCCTCTCTATGCATCTGGGGAGGGCCTTCCTTGGAGGCCCTCCGGAGGCCCAAAATGGCCTGTTTCCCAACTTCCGGTTGTATGGGAAGTGACATTTTTTGCTGTCCCCAGCCTCCAGAGATTCCAAGACAGGCTTCCGGAGGGCCATCGCGTGCCAGAAGTGGGGGGGAGGGGGGTCACATGTGCATGTGCAGGGAGGGGCGCATAGAATTATGGGTGTGGGCATGTGCGGGCACACGAACCTCTCCCCCCTCCTGGCATGCAATGGCAAAAAGGTTAGCCATCACTGCTCTATAGCATCATTTTGATGACATTTTTTTGAGGAAAGGAATACATTTATTGCCTGAGTAATATTATGCTGAAAACATTTTTATTTTGGGTTTTTTTTTTCCCCATTGGATTTGCTTGGAATGATGGGAACTGTGCTGAAGCACATCTGGAAAACACCAGTTTGAGATGATAAGGATGGAGACATCCCTTTTAGAATATCCTGATTTTAATTTCGTTGGTGAACTTCCCTTTAAATATTGTACGGAACTTCTTCTTACCACAAACACAGGAAAGGAGCATAAAAAAAATTCTTCTGAAATCAGCCTGTTTAGAGCCTGTAATTAAAATGTTCATTAGCAAGATTCTTTAATAATTACTTGTGCTGACTAATGAGAATTGTAATATTAGACTTATCTTTTTCAGCCATATTTAGCAATTAGAGTGCCTCTAAAACCTTCAGAATCAGAGCTCATAAAGGCAATTTAAATACGGTGCTAATAAATGTGGCAACATGTACAAAATGTGATCTGCACATCTCAGAGCAATCTTTGCTTGGCTTTTTTGCTTCAATTTTTTTTTTTAGAAAACTTTAATTTGAATTTTTTTAAATCAGTTTAAGTATATGCATTTTTTCCAGTTTCAATTTGCATCCACAAATTGACGAAGCTACATGAATTCATGTCAATTCCTACACACATTCAAAGGCTGATGAGAGAATATATGCAAACCTAAAATGGCAGTTCACTGTCTCTCAAAAGATCTTTGTAACCCCAATCACATACCCATCTAACTTTTAGGATAGCAGCTAAATTTATGCTGCAATCCTATAAATGCTTTCTCAGCATTTTTAGAGTGGTAAATGCATTATTCAATTGAAGCAAAAATGGTTAAGAGTTTCCATTTGAATGGCTCAAGTATGATTACCAGAGCACCACAAACACAAATCTTTTCAATGTTTCATTAATGCACATGAATCCACAGGATTGCAATGGTTTCTCAACATGGAGTTTTATATGGAAATGTACGGAGGAAAAGAAACAAAAGGGACTGAACATATTAAAAACTTCAGAGGACTACCCATTCTGCATATCAAAGATAAAACAGAGATTTATGTGAAATTGACGCACCAATTTCACTTCAAAATCAAGATCAAGAAGTTCATACTTCACTCAATTTGAAGAGAAATTTTCAAAAAAAAAAATCTTGATGAAAAGTTCTTGAAATTTTCTAAAATCGCAGATAATATCATATCCTCTCCATACTGCATTGCATGTTTTTAGAATTGATATACAAGATTAGTTACCTATAAAGTAAATTGCCCTAAGTAGGCCAGTGACGTTCATAATTCCAAGACTAATTTTAACTAATCACCCTTGGCTTTCAACAACCACGTTGAATCATGCTTAATTTACCAGCATTTATTATAAAATACATTTGAAATTAACACAGTAGCAAAGGTAAGAGTAATGAATTCTTAGCCTGTTCAAAGCAGCGCCATTATCCTCTTTGTCAAGAAAAAAAAATGACAATGTAATTTGTGTCAATTATCATTTGCAAATTCAACAGAAGCTTCTGCACTAGTATAACCAAAGTTGCTTTCTTGCTTTTGGGAGAGAGAAAAGATTCTAAGACGGGGCTGCTAAGGAAGGTCTTATCTTGCATTCTTGTTTTAATAAGACAAAATCCAAAGCATCTTTCATTTTTAGCATCTCCTAATGAGTTTTGTCTAATCAGAAACCAAGAAAATAATTAGATATAGAAATATGGCTTGTTACCCTCGGTATAATCACAGCAATGGATTAGCTTTGGCAGATCCATAAAATCTTTCATCGTTACGCCTAACATTCAGCAGTTATAAAGCTTTTAATGCGAATCTGATAATAAATAAACATTTCTGCTTGCATCCTGAAATCAAGTAATCATAATGCTTTCAATGCATCAATAATGACTGTTAATTCACTGATCTGATCTGTATTGCAAGTTCCAAGTCAGGTGAAAGAGATTCTCTCACGGGTGAAGTTTCATGACTTTGCAAACCATTCTTCATATATTTCGTTCTGAGATGTTGGATGAACTATTGAAAAATAGATTATTAATAACTTTTTTAATATGTATTTTTTTTTATCACTGCAGACTTTCTTTCCTGGTTGAAAAAAAAAAAATCTGAAAACATGCCAGAGCAAAGTAATGATTACAGGGTGGTGGTGTTTGGAGCAGGAGGAGTTGGCAAAAGTTCACTGGTCCTGAGATTTGTTAAAGGCACCTTCAGAGACAGTTACATCCCTACAATTGAAGACACTTACCGGCAGGTGATCAGCTGCGATAAGAGCATATGCACTTTGCAGATTACCGACACAACAGGGAGTCATCAATTTCCTGCCATGCAGCGCTTGTCTATTTCCAAAGGACACGCATTTATTTTGGTCTATTCGGTCACCAGCCGGCAGTCTTTGGAGGAACTCAAACCCATTTATGAGCAGATATGTCAGATCAAAGGGGATACAGAGAGCATTCCAATCATGCTGGTGGGAAACAAGAATGATGAGGACCACAACCGAGAGGTGCAAACTGCTGATGGAGAAGCCATGGCCAAGAAATGGAAGTGCGCCTTCATGGAGACCTCAGCTAAAATGAACCACAACGTCAAAGAGTTGTTCCAAGAGCTGCTGAATTTGGAGAAACGTAGGACTGTGAGCTTACAAATCGATGGCAAGAAAAGCAAGCAGCAGAAAAGGAAAGAAAAACTGAAAGGCAAGTGTGTCGTCATGTGAAAGGATCCTTATTCTGGAGCAGTCATGCCAATGTCGTCTTCTGACTGTACCAGATTTCATGCCCCTAAGCCATGGGAAAATTGGTGAAAACTGTTTTATTAATAGCAATTTTGAAAGAAAAGTACTTGAATCAAGCAGTTGTTTGAAGTAAAAGTACTTTCAAGAAGTTGTCTTTTCATAAATTAGCCATTAACGAGAACAATAAATTGTTCCAAAGGCACAAAGGTGTCTAACTTCCAGATCAGAAACAATAACATGTCCATGTTCACTGGCATTACTATTACAATGAAAGGATCTGGTAAATAACCATTTAAAGATAAATGCTAGTGTTATGTACAGAATCATGAAAGATGCATGTGGGTGTGTACACACATCCATACACACATATTTGGCAGACTTAATTTTATTTTATTTAGGCATTAGAAAAATGACTTTCTTAGATTGTAATTTTTTTCCGCTTCTACTATGTCTTGTTTTATTCTCACTGATTCCTTACCCTCCTAAGTAATGTGTAGAATAATCTTCCCTCCTGTAGCCAGAAGAACTGCTGAATGCATGGGCAAAGCTCAATAACCTTCAACTCTACTTTCAGATAGTTCAGTTCAGTGACGGCAGTTCAACATGGCTTGGAAATTATTAGAAAATAGGATACCTGGGAAAGGAAATATTTTTGATCAAAGGGTAAAAGTAAACAATGTTTCTATAGTTCTTAACTTTCTGTATATTTATTTTTACCAAATGCCAAATAATACTAATGATGTTCTATAATCTGAAGAATTTCTAATTTATAAACTTATTGAGTGAATTACAGTTATAATCCATCAATTGTGAAGAATTAAAACAATTAATTTACTATAGACTGATTAAGAATATTTGTGCTGGGGAACAATCATATGTTACCTGAAAGGCAGTGGTGTGATTCTACCGCTTCAGACTGGTTCAGGTGAACCGGTAGCTCTGACGATCAATTGGGAGTGAACCGGTTGGCCCCGACGATCAGCTGGGCCCACCCACCCGCCCATGCTATTTTCCTACCTTTATCTCCTCAGCTGATTCGTGTGGCAGAGCCAATTGCTGCGCGAATCAGCTGTGTTACTCCTCCAAAGAAACCCAGAAGTGAAGATTTCTTCTAACTATGCGTGCGTGCAAAGCACGCAATTACCGAACCGGTTATTAAACCGGGAGGATTCCACCACTGCTGGACGGCAACCAAAGAGCATACTTGTCTCTATGGCATAGATAGGGAGGTCCATACCTTTATGCCAGAAGTGCACTGATACAAATTCAACTGATGTAGATAGATGTGGATGTTTTGTCTGTAATATTCAGCCTCAGGAAGAAAGTAAAATGGTAACATCCAAACATTAGTTCCAAAATCTGATTGTTCCCCAGACACATAAATAAAACCACTGAGACTATACAAGTCTGGAGCTGGTGTAGATAATATTTTTAGCAGTAATGGGAAGAAATAAGAAGAAATTGTTCTTCTCTAACCATCCCCCTTAAAATAGACATGCCGTACATCCCACTCTGGTTGAAGCAAACCACAGAAGTTGTGAATATGAGGTTGGCTCCACCAGGAAATTTTAAGTGACCCGTGGAATTAGGAAATTTCAAAAACAAAAACATTCTTATTCCTCAATAAATCCTTTTCTGTGCACAGTAGATATCAAGGAGTGTCACTAAGGAAGAAATGGATTCATCATTCTCATGAGTGGGTTGGCACCACTATGTAGGACAAAGACACTACCAAAACACTTGGATGTAGCCATGCAAGAACTCAAAAAGTTGTTATCAGGTTATCATTTTTCATGTGAGAGAAGGGGGTAAAAAAATTTAAGTATATATTTTATGAAAGGAGGAATTGAATTTAAATGGATCCTCCAAGGAAATTGGAGGGAAGATTAGATAGGGAAAAAAACCCTCATCTGCCTCCTCATAGTATTCTCAACAAATGTAAGCTGAAGCTTCCTTTTAAAGATGAATCATTTAGTTATATTTAGTACCAAAGAATAATAATCTTAACTATGTTTCATAGTAATCAAATATTAATTTAATTTTTCTTCCTTCCACATTATCCATGCTATTTTTTGAAGTGGTCTCTGGTTTGCCATTCAGGCCAAATATAGTCCTAAATTCAAAGAAAAATGCACACCCCTTGGAGAAGAGTATAAGATTCTTTGAATCTTATTTGCAAACAGATGTGGATTCAAGTTAGCCTTGATTATCTTAAACAGACAACTGAAACCTCTGCATTTATATTATAGCACATGAATCAGAACATTTCTCTCTTTTTTAAAGAGAATATAAGGAGAATGGAGTCTTTTGAAGCAGTATATTGGTGTTTTAGCAAATGCATATATCAAAAGTGAGGCAAGACAGCAAAGTATTCACAAAAATAGGATGTGTGTTTCACTGTGAACGTCACTGAAGAGGTGCTTTTAATGCATTGTCTGCTTTTAACTAGGTATTGCTCATGATGATGTTAATTGTGTGAATCCTTCCATCTTAGCTGCCCCAAACAAATTTCTGTTCTGCACAAAAACAAGAATTTCAGGCAAGTAGGAACCTGCCATATGAAACCATAGCTCATTTCAAATGGAACATTTTTTTTTTCATTTTCTGTAGAGGAGAAATAAAAATGGATGAACCTAAGGTGAAGATAGATGTCCTTTATAAATGTTTGATCTTGATAGAACAAATGTGTGTGGGGGGGAGTGAAGTGTTACAGCAACAACTTGCACCTTTAAACTACACAAATTCATTTGAACAAGAAAATCTATCTTCTGATGTTCCAGTAAAGGAGGGGTGGGAGGGGAATACTACTTTAATAGTGCTCCTCTCATATGGTTATTTGTTCCAGACTGAAAGCCGGAGATGATTAATGGTGTTCTCTGAAATGTGGTGGAAATTATTTTGACACCCATTCAGTACATTTTGAAGCATTTGTTTTCAGGACATCAAAGCCTGTTAAAACTTCCTCCACATTTAGGAACTATAAGATGAATCCAATGGCTTCTTTTTTTGTCTGAGTCAGAATCTTCAGGAGAAGGAAACCAAGAGCTGAGTTCATGTAACACCCTTAGTCTAGTTAGTGAAATCTAGCGGTCAATTAGGATTTTGTTGTAGCTTACCCTGATGTGAGAACCCATCCAATTAATTTATTAATTAACCCATTAGGTTAATTTATGATTTAAGGTATGGTGTGAACCCAAATAGAGCTAACAATACTTATGGTCTGGATTCATTGGACACAGTGCAGTGGTTTCACTCAACAAATGCTTCCAATTCAGTCTCTTTTTCCCCCCAAAGGAACCATACATCTTGCTTTCAAATTTTCTTTAAATTCTTTTGCATCAGGCTTGTCATTAGAAAGAATCTCTTTAAAACCACATAAAAGCATATGTATATTTTTAAAATTTATTTTCTCTTAAACAAGTTGATTTTCAAACTATCACAAAATCCAACAGCATTTAGTAGGTCAATAATTCCATATAGAACCACATTATTGGCTTCTTTTGTTTTCAAGCATGCCTTCATTAAAAAGGTTTTCACCCTTTCCATTTGAGACTCCATTAAGGAAAATAAAAACTTCAGACTGAAATACATTTTGAAACATAATCTGGTAGCTGCTTCCTAAAAACGCGTGTTACATTTAGAAACTACTTATAAGCAATGAATACTTTGAATTAGAATTTCAAGACCAACCTAAACATGATGTAAGAAAAGACAGCTCTTGGTTCCTCTTTCCTTCATACATTCTGCCAACTTTATTCCCAGGTCTATTTTTCATAACCTGCAGAAATTAAATAGAGCAACTCCGATATATTTCTTTGGAATCATTTAGTACTTTAAGGCATCCTTGAACATTGAAGTCATCCAAGAAATGCATTTCTCTGGCTTCCTGTAGCAATATTTGCTCCAACGACACCTATTTATCAGGGATGCTTCCTATTTTATGGTAATAATTGTTGGCTAATTAGTGTTCTTTGTAATTTGGAGAGTAGTTTTCTAGCCACTTGCTGTACTTACTATTCTTCAGGATTTATCATCTTTCTGAATTAACTCGGGGAACATGGGAAAGGTGGCCGAGGCTGGACTTGATCTGAGTCATTTTTTGGCAGTTGTGTCACTGAAAAAGAGATGCTTTAGTGATGATTAAATTAAATCCCATTGTTTCATGTATGTGGTTCTGTAAAACTACATACGGATATTAACCATAGTTTATTCTAATGGCAATGCATGTGCATGAATATAGAGGCACTAGGAAGCACATAGCCTGCCAATTCACAAACTCACAGATGCTGAGGAAAACCAAACATCTTTAGATCTTCCGTTAGGGCAGGACAGGTTGTTTCTTTTTAATCGAGCCAAAAGAGCTATGATTTTAACTCAATTTAATATGATCAGCCGCACACAAAATAAATATCTCAATATCTCTCAGAAATATCTCAGAGCATGTTTGTGTGAGAGAAAGGAGCCCCACTTGGATGCTACAAATATGCTTTCATCACTGTAAGGCTGGGAGATAACTAAAAGCAGCCTTACGGAACAGCCTGTAACTCCCAGAAAAGCTATTAATAGAACTTTCCTTGTAAATGCATGACATCCCTGTCAAAGAAGCTTGTACAAATCCTTCTTAACTTCATTCAGTCTATATTATCTTTAAAAAAAGACAGTTCATGTATTTCCCAAATCCTGTCTGTGATGGCAAAGCTAATCATTTGTACCAAGGAGAAACTGAAACAACCAATTTTAAACATGTAAGTGTCCTATTTAGATACCAGAAATTAGACGATATTTTAAATAGTTATGCATATTAGGTTCTGTCCAATCAGTCATCTCTTGGAGGTCGTTATTTAAATGGAAACATACAATTCTTCTGTTGCTTGTTGATCCCATTCTTGTAATAATAGAATAAGCCATGACTATATTTCATAGCCTTGCATTTGCTGAGGCAAGGCTACTATACAAGCAATATTTATTCTTCGACCAGTAATTCTAAGGAAGGTATGTTTTATATTATACCCTTTTGTTGTAATTTATAATAGATTTTACATATATGTGTGTTTATCAAAATACATGTTCACTCTTACAATGTATAGTTTTGTGGGAGTTTTTTGATAGAAGACAGAAATTCTTAGGGAATAAATAGTTATTTGGTTTGTTACATACGTGGTTTATTTTCAAGTGTGATGCTAATAAATATGAAATGTTTGAAAATCAATATTCACACACACACAAAAATAACTTGTTTAAACTTGTCAAGGGATGCCAGCATCATGAAAATGTAATATGAAAAAGTATGCTGTTCAAAAAGCATGAATTTTATATAAGTCTGCAAGCTATTAAGATGCATATTCAAGCGTATTTATTGTTATAGTTTCATTCAGTAATATTTTATTCAATAGCGTTTATCATGTACTTTGTGCCTCCAGGTTTCTATGTTCCCTGTGATATTATATAAATAAAGCAGAAAAAAATAAACATTTTAAATGACAAATTTTAGATTTTGTTCTAATTCTTTATTCGTCAAGTTTAAAAGTCAATTAAATGGCAACCAAGTCTAAATGAAATCATACCTGTATTGCATTGGTAACAAAGATTAAAGTAAATAGCAAAGTACTTTATAAATCATGACTTCTACACTGAGAAAAAGACCCAATGAAAATTATCAATGATCTGTGCACTCTAGTCTTCAAAGGCTTCCTGGAACAGGCATGTTTTAATGGATTTTCTAAATCCTGAAGAGCTGTTTAATAAGAGGGGTGTAACCACAAATAAGGTCTCCTTACAAGCCCCCAATATAATACTCCTAGATTAGGGATCTTTTGCCAATTTTACAGGGTGGGCAGATACTGCCAGGAACAAGCAATCTCAAAGATACCAATCCTGTTATAAATGAGCCCAAATGACCATGGGAAGGGCAAGCACCAGTGATCGGTTGCCCCTGGTTCGCACCGTTTCTATAGAATCGATAGTAAAACTGGCGGGAGGCTCCGCCCACTGATCCCAACATCATCAAAATGCTTCTGCGCATGCGCAGAAGAGCGCGCGCGCAGCCCCACTGCGAACCGGTAGTAAAGGTAAGTAGAACACGCATGCACGCGGCTTAGAAAACATGACTAAATAGGATGGCATAGCACTGGAGCGGGTGGATGGGTGGGTGCAGATCGCCACTACCGGTTTGCCCGAACCAGTCTGAACCAGCTGAATACCACCACTGGTTGTATCAGATTTGAAACTTTTTAAATTTGACCCCGATGTTGAAATAGAGAGCAAAGATGCTCAGGTTAGACCCTAGATATATTCTGTAACAGTCCTAAACAATACAGGGCTTTAAACATGATAATCGGCATCTTCAAGACCACTCAGAAGCCAAGTAGTAACTAGTACATCTCTCAAAATCTTCTTCTTTTCTTTACTTCTTCTTTTACCGCTTTGGGTATTGAAGGAGATCTCTCAAAGTAACATGTTAAATGAGCAAAATATGACATGTCCATAACTATTTGAGTTGCTTATTTTGAAGCAGCTGTAATTTCTGGGTGTTCTTCAAGGGCAGTCCCTGGTAGAGCTCACCATTGTAATCCAATTGAGATAGAGGTGAATGAAAGACCCTGGGCAGGGGTTCCTAGTGCAAGAGTAGCTATAACTTGTGCATTTGGTAAAGTTATGCAAAGGTTCTCTCTTATTGTCTAATCTCACATGTTGTGAAACAAGATCAAGAAAGCAACACTACCATAAATTTGAGTGAGGTCCCCTTAATGCTAATTTGGACTGTTGAAAACTGTAATAGGAACTTCATAGCCTCAATTACAGTGAGTTAATTAATTCAGAGTCTTATCGAAATTAGTTTCCCACCTTTTCTCAGCAGCCAGATTGAGTTACCTTTTCTGAGAAAAATATTCGATTGATTCTCTCCTATCTTTGCACAATTTATCACACCTACTTGGCTGGCCACTTGCTCTTTAAAAAGAGCTATGAGTTGAGGATCCTCAGATAACGAACCAGCTCCAAATGAGGAAGTATGACCACATCTACCACCACATTCCAGTGTAGACTGAACCCAAAGCCAATCTGTTCTTCCCCATCCAGACCCTAATAGACTCCAAGCACATTTCCTCTCAGCCTGGGGTCAGGCTGTAGAACTGAATATCAGCATACTGATGATATTGATTCCACTGGCTTTGTGTAGATGTCAAATGGGAAGAGGAAGAGAGACCAGAGCATGCAGCATCTCACAACGTAGAGCTTTAGGACCTGACTTCTTCCTTTCTACTGCAGCTGAGTGAAGCTGGGTTCTAGAATTGAGGGATCAGTCTGAGTGTCCAGATTCAGAGGAGTCTGACGAGTTGAGCCTCAGGAAATTTAATAGAGAGATGCTTATCAGCATGTCAAAGCATGATCTATGCAAGGTCCCAAGCCCAGCAACAGGTCACAAATTAAGAAAACAAGAGCAAAAATGTCAAACCATCTACGAAAAGAAAGAAAGAAAGAGAAAGAAAGAAAGAGAGAGAGAGAGAGAAAGAAAGAAAGAGAGAGAGAGAGAAAGAAAAGAAAAAGAAAGAAAGAAAGAAAGAAGGAAGGAAGGAAGGAAGGAAGGAAGGAAGGAAGGAAGGAAGGAAGGAAGGAAGGCTGGCTCAGCAAATTAGTGAAACTGGTAGTAAGATTTATAGAAAGAAATTGCATGCAGCTTGACTGGTTCTTTGTGGCAATCAGTGTTATACCTCCGATGTGTTGCTTTGAATTCCTTCTTTGACCCAGCTGAAATTTGGACTGGACTAGCCATTTTCCAATCACTTTGGAAGAGATGGTCTCTTTGACCATCTGAAAAGTAACCGTTCTTGTTTTCATTCCCTGAGGAGAAAATCTATAATGTGTTTATGTTACAATGGTTGAGGATTTATGAATGCAATAAACAGCTTAGCTTTGTATCGTAAGCTGCCTCTGTGTGTGTAATTAGCCACACAGAATGTGTAATGAGGAGAACCGCTGCAGCACTACATTTCCCAATCCCTATAGCTGGTCCAGAAGATATCATGACCTGTTATATCTAAAGCAGCAGGGAGATCAAGAACCAGGGCAAATTTGGGTTTACAGGAAATCTTGGGATGCAGGACTGATAGTTTCATATGCAGGATAATGTGCTGAGATCATCAAGGGATTCTTCTCCTTACCAAGCATTCCCCTGTCTATGATGTAGTCCTCTGATAGACGTTAAGATTAGTCATGTATTAGTTTTTCCACAACGAATAGTTTGTTCCTTATGCCAGACTTTAAAAGATGATCTGAAGGGGAAAAGGCAACAAGTATAATTCTGATTCTTAAAAGCACTCGATGAGACAATTATGTTGCAGGGAAAATAATAAAAGACAATGCTCTTACTGGCTTTAGCTCCTTGGAGGACCACTGGGAAATAACAATAGCTAGTCATTCCTTAAAAGTATGACTAATAAACTGGATCAAAGCAAGTTTAGAGCTAATCCTGCCATAAAGCTGGCTATAAATCAATAGCTGACATGCTTTTATGATTATTTATCTCAAATGGACCAATATTTCATGATTAGCAAAATAGGAAATTTGTACTGCTCCTGTAAAGTGCTATTCACTTGGCAGGCAGGGCCTGCTCTTTTATTAATTCAGTTCTTGCCAAGACAGAGCAAAGTGCTTAGCCTTAGAATGAAGTTGCTTAGTGGAGAGCAAAGTTGCTCAGTTAGTACTATTACGCAAAAGCAGGACTGTATGCCAAATTTCCACTTGGCAAGATCCAAGTTGTTTGCAATTTTCTTCTTATGAAATGGAAGTGGGGTGCAGAGGAGGAATCTGAGAAGCAGGAATCAGGAATGTGTTAGGCAGCACAAATAAATAAATTTTAGCTATTTTTTATATATCTTGACAAATTTTAATATGCTCATTGTTATTTTGGGATAAAATGACCCCAAGGGGCTGGAGGCAGAGTATAAGGTTCCTCACAGGGTGGGGAAGATCTTGAGACTGTGCTAGGCCTCTGATGGTCCCCCTCATCCTTGAGGCACCCTTGCTCCATTTTACAATATCTGTGGTCACTTAATGACCACAGATATTGTAAAGAGAGAGAGAGAGAGAGAACCAGGGTGAGGTCATTAAGTGAGGTGATCATTTGGTTGCTTCACTTAACAGCAGTTGTGATTTGTGGACATGATAGGCAGGCTTCCTTATGGACATAAGTCAAAGACTACCTGTGATGACCAGGGGCAAGGCACAGAGGTCACAACAGCCAGCTGAGAGTTTGAACTTTTCTTTAATGCTCCAATTTCCCACCCCCAAATGCTCCCACATTATGCAAGTCCCAGAGCAAAGTGCTCTCTCTCTCACACACACAGCAGCCTCTGGCTGCAAGCAGTCCAGCAAACGTTATTAGTACAATGGTTTCAAAGAAGTCCAGCAAGGCAAAGGAACAAAGAAATAAATCCACAAAACAAGGAATAAGCAATGAGTCCATGAAGCAAGGAAGAAGCAATGAGTCCATGAAGCAAGGAAGAAGCAAGCAGTCCTGAAAACGCCAGACATTGGCAACAGCACACAAAACTCCACAAATTTAGTATTTGTTCTCTGCCTCTCCCCACAGCATCTCCTTAAGTCTCAGTCCCCAAGTGTGCCTTATGAAGAGGGACGGGCGCTCTCCTCCCGAGTCTTTGGGTTGGTCTGTGCTGTTCCTGCCTCCTCTCCACTCTCCATGTTCGGGGATCAGGAGGGGGCAGTCCTCTTCATCTCCACTGCCTGCCCTCTCTCGGTTGTCCTTCCCCTGTTCCTCCCTGCTGGCAAGCCATCCCAAGCCTGAGGGGCCCAGGGCTGTCTGGTCCTGCTCCTCCCCACATTCCTCTGAAGTAAATGAGCCCACCCCTTTGACCTCTGTCGGCCCCTGCTCTGGCCCAGCCTTCGTGGATTCAGGCTTCTACAGGGGCATGATACTACCTGTATGTGGAATGAAAGGATATTTGAAATGTCAAAAAAAATATATTCCTAATGCGATTCAGAAGCATCCAAAAAGTTCTTCTAGAAAAATGCATATTATTACAGAATGCACTGTTTACTTATGCAAAATATAGAACAGCAAACAAACTAATTTTCTTTAGGGATCAAGAATGTTAGAAAATAAGCCATTTAATTTCCATAACAACTGGAATATAATAATAAGGAAGCTGTCTTATGCGAAGAAGAAAATAAGAACATCAAAAATGCTATGCTGAATCAGATTAAAGGCTTACCCAGTGCAATGTTTTGTGTTTAATGTGGAGAGCCCTCCGGAAAGCCCAATACTATCTACCGTCTTTGATTGCTTTTGTCAGAATGATGGAAGCAGTGCTGCAGTGTCATGCCATAAACTCCATCATACAGATCATGCATGTGACATCAAAATGTATGCAGAAGGAAAGTGAGCCTTGCAGCATGATGCCACAATACTGCTCTCACCATTCTGCTTCCCCACCCCCACCCAGTACTGGGTTTCAATTTTTTTTACTACTGGT